CAACATCAAACGCTGGGCTGCCTCTCCAAAGAGTTTCACCCTGGTAGGTCTGGGGCTCCAATGAGAAAAGGCTTTGGGGTCTTCCAGAAGGGACAGCTACAGAGATCTGTCCCCCTCCTCTTGGGTAGGTGTACTGAGCATGTCTCCAGGCAAAAGGAGAAATTCAGAACTGTTGCAGGAAGATGGAGGTTAGAGTAGATGGAGAAACTTACATTCTGGCAAGTGAACGGTGCTTAAATGAAGCAGGTGATACACATGCTCTTTAAAGTCAGCAGAGGACTAGGGATGTAACTCAGTGTTAGAACACTTGCCTAGCATACACAGACACAGGCCCTGGATTCAGTCCCCAGAACAGCAAAATAATTGAAAGAAGAACCAAACTGTAACGATCGAGGAGAGATTTCAGAAATTTTTGAGAGGGAGGGAAAGACTATAGAAAAACAACCCTCCTCTCAACAGTAACTATTTACAATTGTTTTTTCCTTCTGACTTTGTATTTTGGGGTTATGAATTGAAAACTGATACTAACTTGAGAAAGTATCTGAGGAATGGAAATAGAAATTATAGTAAATATCATTTTTCCATTTTGAATACTGTTGCCAACCTTCAAGTATGGTCATTTAATAACAAATCTTTCCATCCTCCCAGTTTTATCATCAGGGGTAGAGTACTTGAAATTGTAGCAGAAAGGCCACCTCTCAGAAACAGTATTTCCCTTCATGGAGGAAAGTTGGTTGGCTAGGTGGGGTGGTGGATGCCTGTAATTCCAGCACTCTGAGAGGTTGAGTCAGAAAGAATGAAAGTTTAAGCCCAGTCTGGGCAACTTAGTGAGACCCTGTCTCAAAATTAAAAAAAAAAAAATGTAAAGGGCTGGTGATGTAGCCTAGGGGAAAGTCCCAGTCCCACACACATAACACAGTGGAACAAACCAAAAGCAGGAGGTTGGCACATGCCTGTAATCCCAGCACTCAGGAATTCAGGAAGGAGGATTGGCATGAGTTCAAGGCCAGCCTGAAGTACAGAGTGAGACCTTGCCTCAAATAACAAAACAAAAAAGCAGAAAAGTGAAGAAGGTAGGCTTCTTCTAGAAGGCTGTTGGCCTGGGGAGGCATCCTCATCAGATCAACCAATGGGGTCCCTCCTCTTTTCCATCCTGGATAGATTCTAGCTTTCCACTGAGTCTCTACCTTGTCACCCTAGGACTTCGGGGATTACCAGGATGGCTACTACTCAGTTCAGACTACTGAGGGGGAGCAAATTGCACAGCTCATTGCTGGCTACATCGACATCATCCTGAAGAAGGTGAGTGCTGGTGCCCAGCTTTCTGTCTATGACCACCCCCAAGCCAGTCCTTAAGAAATAGGGACCTATAAGGGCCGGGGATTTAGCTCAGTGGTTTCGCTGCTTGCTGCGCAAGCGCAAGGACCCAAGTTCGATCCCCGGTACCAAAAAGAAAAAAAAAAGAAACAGGGACCTATAAGGGCCGGGGATTTAGCTCAGTGGTTCTGCTGCCTGGCTCCCAAGCACAAGGTTCCGAGTTCAATTCCCGGTACCAAAAAAAGAAAGAAAGAAAGAAACAGGGACCTATGTTCTAGAAAAAACAGCTGACTGAGAAAAGAAGAGGCAGTCTTTCCCCATTGTCTCTTCCTTTTAATTGCCCCAACTTCTTTTTCTTCTTACAGAAAAAAAGCAAGGATCACTTTGGACTTGAGGGAGATGAGGAGTCTACTATGCTGGAGGACTCAGTGTCTCCCAAAAAGTAGGAATGAAGTTATATTGGCCCAGGGGTAGGGAAGGCAAGGTCTGGCTCTATGGAATGTTGGGGGTGGGGATCCTTAGGATGATTCTTTCACTAGGCACAACCTGTAATAAGACCTCTCAAACCCAGATCCCAGGACCTGCAGAGGTGGCGGAACTAGGGGCTGGGATGGAGTGGAGATGAGGAGTCCCCTCTGTGTTGCATGGTTCTTCTTGTCTCCAGGTCAACAGTTCTTCAGCAGCAGTATAACCGGATGGGCAAAGTGGAGCATGGCTCCGTGGCTCTGCCTGCCATCATGCGCTCTGGAGCCTCTGGTCCTGAGAATTTCCAGATGGGCAGCATGCCACCCGCTCAGCAGCAGATTACCAGTGGCCAGATGCACCGAGGACACATGCCTCCTTTGGTAAGAGTGCCCTCACTTCCACCATGGTGCCCAGACCCTTCTCCTACCTTCTACTGGGCCTAACCAGGAGTTAGACTGTCTTTTCCTATTTGTATTCCTAGTCTCTGGTTCTCCTTTACCTTCTCGATTCTCTAAATGTTCCAGCCCAGTCCTGTTACTCCTCCCCTTATTTTTTAGACTTCAGCCCAGCAGGCCCTCACTGGAACCATCAACTCTAGCATGCAGGCTGTGCAGGCAGCCCAGGCCACTCTGGATGACTTTGACACTCTGCCTCCTCTTGGCCAGGATGCTGTGAGTATGGGATGGAGGAGAGGCCAGTGGTCCTGAAGCTAGGACTCCCAGAGATAGAGGGGTTAACCAAACCAGAGGTTTTTCTCCTTCTCATAGGCCTCTAAGGCCTGGCGTAAGAACAAGATGGATGAGTCAAAGCATGAGATCCACTCCCAGGTAGATGCCATCACAGCTGGTACTGCCTCCGTGGTGAATCTGACAGCAGGTAGGCTAGATGCCAACTTGTATATGTGTGAGGGAGAAGGGGGAACAAGCATGTGTAAGCATGCATGTGACTGGCTCCGTGTGTGACTGTACCCTGACTCATTATGGAAGGTTCTGTGTGTGTACAGTTCTCCCCAGACGTGTGTGACTAATTGGGTGTGACGGTGCTCCTTCCCTAGCCTGCCATCTAGCCTGTCCTGTCTCTCATGCTCCTCCTCTTCCTTTTGCCCTCAGGTGACCCTGCAGAGACAGATTACACTGCAGTGGGCTGTGCAGTCACCACAATCTCCTCCAACTTAACGGAGATGTCCCGTGGGGTGAAGCTGCTGGCTGCCCTGCTGGAGGATGAAGGTGGCAGTGGCCGCCCCCTGCTACAGGCAGCAAAGGGCCTTGCAGGGGCAGTGTCCGAACTGCTACGAAGTGCCCAACCAGCCAGTGCTGAGGTCAGGGGCTATAGGGCTGGGGTGAGGGTGGACAAAGTGTTCAAGCCCAAGGAGGGGCAATCCAAGTTGCATGATGGAAGTGTATCCCAGGGGCCTCAGAGACCCATTGGCATGTGATTAGGATTGGGCAGCTTCTGACAGGTGTTCACTCTCCACAGCCCCGTCAGAACCTGCTGCAAGCAGCTGGGAACGTGGGCCAGGCCAGTGGGGAGCTGTTGCAGCAAATTGGGGAAAGTGACACTGACCCCCACTTCCAGGTTGGTGACTTACCCAGCCCCCAGAACCCCCACTTCTAGAAGGTAACCTCTGATCCTGAATCCAGCTCCCAGTTCTCTGCTTCTATGAATTGACCCCTCCAAACCAACCTGAACCTCAGTTTCCAGGGATTCTAGTCTCTTTTTAGGAGGTGAGAATTCAGAACCCCTGAATTTAAACTTAATCTACTACTTCACTCTTGGCCCTCATTGATGATATTCTTAGCCCTCTCTTCTGTATATACAGCCCTTGCCCCAGCCTGAGGCTGTCTTGAGCCAGTCCCACTTAACCATGCTAAGGACGGTGGTCCTCCACCTCTCCCTCTCCCCCACCCCATGCCAGTTGCCTCAGTTAACTTTTCATCCTGGATTTCCCATGCAGATATGTGCACCCAGAGGGGCTGGGGTTCGATCTCCCCCCGATTCCCCTACGGTAACGGCCTCTGGCCTGGGCCTTCCCAGCTTGGTTCTTTCTGAGCCGCATACACTCGTTGCTGTACTCCTCCCCCAGCCTCCTGGGAGAGCAGAACATGATGGGAGTTGGAGAGTCCTGGCCAAGGCAGGGTTGGAAAAATGGAATTAGGTAGACTAGGACAGGAACATGTTCCTGAGACTCCAGGATGACTGCTTGCAAACCAAGATTGAGAAGAAACGGAAAAAGGAAGCTAGGGGAGGGACCCCAAGAGGTCCCACTCTAGCCCAGCACCACCCCTCCCTCCCATCACTGTCCGAGTGTATCCGCCTCAGGCATTTCTCCCACTGGTATAGGCTCTCTTTCTTTCGGTGTGGGCTTGTTCCTTGGTGGGCATTCTGTCCGGCTGAGTGCTCAAGGCTGGGGCTTGGGGTTGGTTCTGGTTGCTTCTGCGTACACTATCCTCTGATTGGGGTTGATGGGAATAATGAAGCAGCTTATGCCTTGAGACATGTCCATGGATCCCGAGCTCCATCTCAGGTCATGCTAACTGCTGTTTGCTCACAGGATACTCTAATGCATCTGGCCAAGGCAGTGGCAAGTGCTGCAGCTGCTCTGGTCCTCAAGGCCAAGAGTGTGGCCCAGCGGACAGAGGACTCAGGGCTTCAGACCCAAGTTATTGCTGCAGCCACACAGTGTGCCCTGTCTACCTCCCAACTGGTGGCTTGTACCAAGGTGAGCCCAAAGGTTGCTGTAGCCTGTGCCTACTACTCATGCTGCCACACATACCCTAAGCCTCTCATTTCATCCTTTTGGCTCTCAAGCCCTCATTACCCATCCAAGTGACTACTGTGAGAACTATAAACACTCCATCTCGTGACTTCTTTCCCTTGCCTACATATCTTGACACTCTGTTTCCCCCACAGGTAGTGGCACCTACAATCAGCTCACCTGTTTGCCAAGAGCAGCTAGTGGAAGCTGGACGACTGGTGGCTAAAGCCGTGGAAGGCTGTGTGTCTGCCTCCCAAGCAGCCACAGAGGATGGGCAGCTGCTGCGAGGAGTAGGAGCAGCAGCCACAGCCGTCACCCAGGCTCTGAATGAGCTGCTGCAGCACGTAAAAGCCCATGCCACAGGGTCTGGGCCTGCTGGCCGTTATGACCAAGCCACTGACACCATCCTTACTGTCACAGAGAACATCTTCAGCTCCATGGGTGATGCTGGTAAGGACACTTATCCCCAGAAAAACAAAAACCCCAGTGAGATTCCCCAAGCCCAGTGGATATTCCCATGCAGACCCATCCACCTCACCTTACGGACTCAGCACAGTGTGGCCTTGCCAGCCATGCAGCCATGGGCCTGTTGTTTACTTTCAGAAACCTCTCCTTCCCTGTCTGTAAAGCAGAAACAAAAGCCCTGTTTTGTCACCCTTGTATTGTTTAGTGAATATACACAAAAATGTGGAAAGTGGCATAATTAATAGCTAGTCTTCTCCACTCCATCCTCTTACTCCCAAAAGCCTTCACAAACAGAATCTCATTTTTCTCAAGACTTCTGCTGAAAATACCTGGTGACTGTCCTCCCTCCCATAAGAACTCATTGGGAAATCTGTTCTTCTTCAAGATCCTAAATGAGCACAGAAAAAAAATAACTAGAGAAAGCACTTGAGAATGTAAAAGAGTCTTTGTCTTTTGTTAAAAGCCCCATCTGTCCTCCCCCTTATCTTCACCCTGACACCCTCTCAGTTCTCTGGCTTTCTCACCTGACTGTCCCTTGTGTTGTCAGGGGAGATGGTGCGACAGGCCCGCATCCTGGCCCAAGCCACCTCAGACCTGGTCAATGCTATCAAGGCTGATGCTGAAGGGGAGAGTGATCTGGAGAACTCTCGAAAGCTCCTGAGTGCTGCCAAGATCCTAGCTGATGCCACAGCCAAGATGGTGGAGGCTGCCAAGGTACAAAACCTACCGTGCAGACCCCCAGACTGGTTCCTGAAGGGAAGTAGGTCTAGATGGAGAGTGTCAACTGATGGGGAGACCCCAGAAAAGCAGAAAAATGTAAAGAGAACAAATAAGGAAACACTCAGGAAGCAAACAAACCCCCTGGCTGCAGGTGGACAGTGTCCCTGGTTTCCAGCCATTGTGACTTCCAGAGTATTTGCTGCCTGTGGCAAGTGTCCATATTCTTTTTCTTTTTTTTCTTTTTCTTTTTTTGGTACCAGGGATCGAACTCGGGACCTTACACTTATGAGGCAGGCAGTGGAACCACTGAGCCAAACCCCCAGCCCCCCATATTCTTTTTCTTCCTTTAAACTCAAAGTCTACTATTCCTACTTTTCCCCCACCTTGCTGCCACCACCTGCCTGGAACTCTTCTCCTTCCTAATCTCTCCTGTGAAAGTACATAGGTCTTCAGTCTCAAGAGTCTCCATGCTAACAGTACAGAGAAAGACAAGGCATTAGGACAATGAGATAGGTGCAGAGGACTATTGGAAGGAAGTTGCAGTAATTGCCAGGTTCTGGGCTGTGGGGCTCCTCAATTTGCAGGAAGAAATGGTTCCCTGCTTAAGAATTCTGAGATCCCTTCTCAAAGTGAATCCTCCTTTTCCCAGGGAGCCCTGCTCACCCCACTCACCTGTAGCATTCTGGGTGTTCTTTAGGAAGTGGGGCAAGCCACAAGAAGAGGAAGAATTGACGGTTCATCTTAAAGGAGGTCAGCATGACAGAGGAATCCAGGCACCCCAGGGCCATCCCACTGTCCTTCTGGAGGCAGTTCCTCGTAGTGATTGCCTTTCACTGTGGATAATTAAAAATGAGCTCAGGAAAACAAGTGAATTTTAAACTGAGTCAGGGGCCAGAAAAGAGCATATTTAGGGTCCACAAAGATGCTGAGTGATGACTGTCTCTCCCCTCTCTCAGGGGGCAGCTGCCCACCCCGACAGTGAGGAACAGCAGCAGCGGCTTCGAGAGGCAGCGGAGGGGCTCCGCATGGCCACCAATGCAGCTGCACAGAATGCCATCAAGAAAAAGCTGGTGCAGCGCCTGGAGGTAAGGTTGGGAAGTCAACCAGAGCAAAATTGAGTGGTATGGGAGGAATAAACCAGGCAGTACATGCAGGGAGTCAGTTTCCTTGGGGCATAGTATGAGCCTGGAGGGCCTGGGACTGCATGCGCTTGTCCTCACTACTCTATCCTCACAGCATGCAGCCAAGCAGGCTGCAGCCTCGGCAACACAGACTATTGCTGCAGCCCAACACGCAGCCTCTACCCCCAAGGCCTCTGCAGGCCCCCAGCCTCTACTGGTGCAGAGCTGCAAGGTGAGTCTCTTAAGAGGACTATGGTTGGACAGAGGAGTGGAAAGAGAAGGCCTTTCCCTCAGTCTGGTGCTCATGACATTTCCACCTACAGGCTGTGGCAGAGCAGATTCCACTGCTGGTGCAGGGTGTCCGAGGAAGCCAAGCTCAGCCTGACAGCCCTAGTGCTCAGCTAGCCCTCATTGCTGCCAGCCAGAGCTTCCTACAGGTAAGGGACACTCTCACCTTTCAAACCAGATGCTCTGTGCCTTTCCTAGACCCTATACCTACAGCAAGTTGAGTATTTACTGGTAGTCTCTTTGGTAATACCAAGCCCCAGTGCTCACCATGTCCTGACCATCATTGGTCCCTGTACCCAAGCCCAGGGAGAGGACGGCATACCTCATCTACCAACCTGTTCCCCAACAGCCAGGTGGGAAGATGGTGGCAGCTGCAAAAGCTTCAGTACCAACAATTCAAGACCAGGCTTCTGCCATGCAGCTGAGTCAGTGTGCTAAGAACCTGGGCACCGCACTGGCTGAACTCCGTACTGCTGCCCAGAAGGTATGGGAGCTGGCTGTAGCTGTGGAAGATGAGGGTGGAATACTGGGATGACAGGGAATCTGTACAGAACAACCTTGAACAAGGATGACTGTAATCCGAAGCTTTGGTGAGATACCATACCTCCTACATCCAAAACCCCTTCTTAACTATGACAGGCTCAGGAAGCATGTGGGCCTTTGGAGATGGATTCTGCACTGAGTGTGGTACAGAATCTAGAGAGAGACCTGCAGGAAGTGAAGGCAGCAGCTCGAGATGGCAAGCTTAAACCTTTACCTGGGGAGACAGTGAGTATTAAGAATCCTTACACAAATCCTAAAGTCTCCCCATCTCTGCTGCAGAGCTGCCCTGAACCTAATTTAAACTTCCAGCTATCTCCAGCTGCCTTGTCAGTTGCCTTTTCCTCACTTTCGTCTTTCCCTGAGCCTGACTTCCTCCCACCCACTTCATCCATAGATGGAGAAGTGTACCCAGGACCTTGGCAACAGCACCAAAGCCGTGAGCTCTGCCATTGCCCAGCTGCTGGGAGAGGTTGCCCAGGGCAATGAGAATTATGCAGGTATGTGGGCACAGGGGCAGGAAGGGAGCATGAGGGGTAGGGAAGTGGGGAAATGGGAGCTAGATGAGGGGTGGGGCTGACAGAGGAAACCACGGGGATCAAGCCTTGCCAATGAAGGTGGTTTTTCCCTTCCCCTCCCTCCCTGTTTCCCTAGGTATTGCAGCTCGGGATGTGGCAGGTGGACTGCGGTCACTGGCCCAGGCTGCTAGGGGTGTAGCTGCCCTGACATCAGATCCCACAGTGCAAGCCATTGTGCTTGACACCGCCAGTGATGTACTGGACAAGGCCAGCAGCCTCATCGAGGAGGCGAAAAAGGCAGCTGGCCATCCAGGGGACCCTGAGAGCCAGCAGCGGCTTGCCCAGGTCAGGTATTGGGAAGGGCCACTGCCCTTCTCGTTCCCAGGTCCCTTCATAAGCACACCCCTCCTTCCCCCACCCCAAACTCCCCAACCCTGCCAAGCTGGAGCAAAGGTTTCTAGGCTTCACCTGCACTGACAGGAGGACATCTTGGGTTGCTCACAAGAAATCCTCTCTGGGGTCCACCTTTTTTTTGTTTTTGTTTTTGTTTCATTATAAAGTTCCTTTTATTTAAACAGTTGTCAAGTATTAGTAATAATACAGGATTGAGCGATCAATTAACAACTGAGAAATTAGAAAACACCATTATTGTGTCACAAAATACAGCATTTAGCACAGCAAGTTTAGAGTAAGGGTTCAGACACCGGGCCTTTCATAGCCACCGAGCAGCCCAAGACCAGGAGTCAAAGGAGCAGAGGAAAAGGAAAAAGCCAGGGTGGGGAGGGCCAGGATGGAAGGCAGAATATGGAAGCTTTTTATTCTATGTGCCCAAGGGTGGTGTGGAAGTAAAACGTGTCTACATTTAAAAGTTCATAGAAATCATATGAATTGCAGCTTCCACAAGAGTCAAAAGGAAATGTTCTGCACAGGACAAAGATATGCCTAAGCCACATATCGTATGTGCACAAGGCCACTGAGTGTCACGGATGTGAGGAACAAAAAGCTTCATTCTACGGCCCAAGACTGCAAACTGCTCTCATTACACAAAAGCTGCAGCAATAGTTTTGTGTAGGAACTTTTGTGCTTAGGGTTGGCACATTATATACTCTCTAATATGTGAAATTAATGCAGACAATAAAGGTTGTGCAAAGCTGCTGTATTTACAAAAATGGCACAAAAGTGAATCCATTAGTTGATGCACCTGCATACTTCACATCTTGCAAGGAGAGTGTACTAACGCCACAGAACTGAGTAGGAACGCGGCCTTCAGGGGGCAGCTGGTAAGCACTGAGTTATAGAAGTTACACCAGAAGGGCAAATATTGCCCAAGTAAAATGCTACTGTTAAAGCTGAAACAGGTTTAAGGCCATTCAAGTTCATGCAAATCTTTTGGAGTTCCCGTCTCTCCATGTTTGATTATGTGACCCTTCTTCTAACTTGTGGTCTTAAACTTCCGTTTTACAAAATCCAAAAGGAAAATAAAGAAGAAATTGTACAAGAGAGATTATGTTAAACAGGAGTAACATACAAAGCTATCACTAAGATGAAGGAAGGAAAGCCAAAACAAACTTGTAGAACTTGCTTGCTGCTTGCTGGAACCAGCCCTACACTGGGGTGAGGTGATATATACAGTTGTTTTCAAGTAGATGACATGTGTTGCTCAACATGTCCTTCTCATCAGTGCACTGGTGAACTAGTCAGAACCTCTACACATGTCTATGCCCTTACACTGGCAGCACTTACTACCACTACTTGCAAAGCTGTAAGTCGTGCATGACTTTGTGAATGAAAAAAGGAAGTAAAAAGTGGGTAAGTAACAGATTAAGGAGGAATAAAGGGAATGAGAAGATTCATGCAGTTCAGCTCTTTTAATCAGCCAGCCAGCTTGCTTGTGACAAGGGATAGTTTCCGCTGAGGAAGGTCCTGCGGAGTGGGAATGTGGTCACCAGTGACCTCGGTCTTATCCGGGGTCGCAGTAGGCAGTTGCTTGTTCTTCATCTTCGCCTTAACCATGTTGTAATCCCCAGAATCAAAATATTTTTGCCCTTTCTGCAAGTGTTTCCTTAAAAACTCAGAACCTCCAGGCTTCTGTCCCAGGTGAGGATACCTTGCTTTTAGTTTTGCTTCTTCAGCTTTCTCTGGACTGGTGACTTTATCTTCCATTTCCTTCTGTTCCTCGGCCGACGCCGCCTCGGGGCCCTCCACAGACATGGTGCTCCCACTGCGGGCTAGTTGCCACAGGTGTCGGGATGACGGGCCGAGGCCGCCCCCTCCCTGCCCCGGGCCACCGCCGCCTCAAAAGTGGCTGCTGCCTGCAATGCCACGCCCTCGCCTCGCCAACCTGTCCTCCGGCCACGTGACGCCCGAGCACTTCCTCTTCCCTTCTCTGGGGTCCACCTTTTCAGTCTTAGAAGAAGTGTCTCAGTTGGATTAAGGCAGAAGCCTAGCTAAGTGCCAAGTTTGATCACTATTGCTAGAGGTCCTAACTTCAGCCTGTTCAGCTGTTATAACTCCTTTCCTCCATTTTCTGAAGCTAGAGAGCTGGTTATCTCCTGTGTGTCCCAAGGAGAAGGGAGAGGTCGCACAGATTTTTCCCACTTTGGCAACTCCATCTCCTTTCCACTTCAGGTGGCCAAAGCAGTGACCCAGGCACTGAACCGCTGTGTCAGCTGCCTACCTGGCCAGCGAGACGTGGATAATGCCCTGAGAGCAGTTGGAGATGCCAGCAAGCGACTCCTGAGTGACTCGGTAGGAGGACCAGGGCATGGAGGGGACAGAGAAGTCAGAAAACTCAAAGCCTGCCCTTCCTACTTCTAGACTTCTCCTTTGGCCTGGCCTTCCAAATCTGTCCCCATTCATTACTCTCAAGTTATGTACCCACCCTGTCAGCCCTCATTTCCCAACTTCTCCCTTGCCTCATTCCCCTGCAGCTTCCTCCCAGCACTGGAACATTTCAAGAAGCTCAGAGCCGGTTGAATGAAGCTGCTGCTGGGCTGAATCAGGCAGCCACAGAACTGGTGCAGGCCTCCCGGGGAACGCCTCAGGACCTGGCTCGAGCCTCGGGTCGATTTGGACAGGACTTCAGCACCTTCCTGGAAGCTGGTGTGGAGATGGCAGGACAGGCCCCGGTATGAAGAAGCAGGGGGTCTGGCTGCATGGTCCCTTAAGGAGCTAAGTGGCACCTGGGTGACTATAAAGTCTGGACATGCTCCTGGCTCCTTCCCCCTCTCCAGTCTTGAGCAATACTTGAATGTCTGGGAAAGAAGATCCTTTTATAGAGATATATAAGAAAGAAGAGGACAATGTATATATGACTTTCTTGCTTTCAACAGAGCCAAGAGGACCGGGCCCAGGTTGTATCCAACTTGAAGGGCATCTCCATGTCTTCAAGCAAACTTCTTCTGGCTGCCAAAGCCCTGTCCACAGACCCTGCTTCCCCCAACCTCAAGAGTCAGCTGGCTGCAGCAGCCAGGTAAGCAGGAGCTGGGAAGCCCAGTCCTGGAATGTGTAAGAAGAACTGAGGAGGAAGCATTTTGTAAGACAGCCCCAGCTTATGAGTGGCAAGGCAAAGGAGAAATAGCCGGAGACATCCCATATACACAGGACCAAGGAATGATGATCCATTCACTTATTCACTCACCTTTCTGTTGCTCCCAGGGCAGTGACTGACAGCATCAACCAGCTCATCACCATGTGCACCAAGCAGGCGCCTGGCCAGAAGGAGTGTGACAATGCCCTGCGGGAATTGGAGGTGGGCACTTGGCAGGCCAGCAGAGGTTGAGGTTCAGGAGGGTGCTCTGGGCTTGGGCTGAGGAAGTTTTGGATCTCATGTCTCTCTCCCACTACACAGACAGTTCGGGAACTCCTGGAGAACCCAGTCCAACCTGTCAACGACATGTCCTACTTTGGCTGCCTGGACAGTGTCATGGAGAACTCAAAAGTAAGTGTAGCTGAAAGCCCAGGCAGGAAGATGAAACTAACCAGATGATGCCCAGTACTTGAGGGACATGATCTGAACCTTCTGATACCTTCTGTTCCTCAGGTGCTGGGTGAGGCCATGACCGGCATCTCCCAAAATGCCAAGAATGGGAACCTGCCGGAGTTTGGAGAGGCCATTGCCACAGCCTCCAAGGCTCTCTGTGGCTTCACTGAGGCAGCTGCACAGGTTATTGCCCTGAGATTCCCTGGAACAGCCTCTGCTGTCCCTTCCCCACGCCCCCTCAGCCCAAATCACATGTGGATAAATCAAGAATTGTGTGTCTCCAGAGCCAACTCTATGGAACCTGGAGTTTTCTCCCTCCTGAGCTGGATTCCAATAATCCTGATCACTGCAACCCTAAACTGGTGTTTTGGTGATGATTACACTGTCCAACCATGAGGCCTCCTT